TAAACGCTAGTTTTATTGGTTATTGTAATCACTCCCTGTGATCTAGGGTTTTACATATTTGTTTAAAAGTTAGATTTTGTTGTGCAAAACCTTGTGTTGTTTGATAGTATAATCTGATTTTATCTATTTTTCAATACTATAGGTGGCTGATCTTAAAAGAGTGCCTTAATATTGCCACCTCTACCGACTCATTTGTTCTTTAGCTCTTCAATCTAGGTGCTAGATTTGTCCCAAATGTTGCGCAAATTTTTGCTGACGATAAATATTTGCCCAATCAAATTACTTTTTTTTATTGTTATATCGCTAGAAAGCTGCCCGAGTAATTTATAGTGGATTAAGCATTCTTATTTTATATTCTTTAAAAAAGATGTTGGTATCCCATTGTTAAGAATAGCCTGATTAATTAGTCACACCCATACATTGCTTAACAAATTATAGTACATTCTACAATAATTCATGTTGTTTGCATTTTTTCTTTTTTGATATTTTAGATAAGTCTTCTGATCACGGGAGCAAGTTCTGCCTCATTCCCATCGACCGAATAGAGTTTAAACTCATCAAACTACCTTCTGAAATGGCCTGTTCATATGCCATGTATCATACTTGCTACTGCCTACGTTGTCAGCGCTTCGTCCCTTCTGGTCCGGGTCTCTGCCAAGTGCCCAAAGTCCAGTTGCCTTTACTAGCTTGTCTAATGGGCAATGACTATGTTTCTCCTAATTTCATTAGTGCTCATATTTTCACCTCAGAAAATCAGAAAATGTCTAAGCAGGAAAACGCATTTCGGCTTTTCCGACGATTAATGACCTGGCTATATGAATTTGGACATGATCCACATCTCCCAATCAGGATTTTGTTAGACAAGGTTCCAAAGAGCAAACGTGTACCTACTATGATTAGATTGCTGGATGGCTTATCTTCGTACGTGCTAGATCCGTTTTCTTCACACGAACTTGTCAAGGAGGTTCATACAATTCCTGAGTCGCCTGTTTTCCTTGATGTTATATCTTTACCTGGTATGCCCATTTTTAATCCTATATATAATTTTCATTAATATTTTTATATGGTGGTCTTAGCGTGGAGAGTGTTATGAGTGGCAGCTTCTTTGATAAGCTTTTTCAAAATTATTTCACAAAGGATATCCTTCGGTCGAGTGCTGACTTTACTTGTTATGCAAGCATAATGTCTCATTCTAATATTGTTGCAGAAGAGTTAAAGGCCTCATTCAAACTTGTTAATTGGGCTTGATATCATAACTGCTAAAATTGAGTTAGGATTTATCTGTCTTTTACCGATGGAATAATTAGTTAATTTAATAAATCAATTGATTTTCAATTACGAGGGCTTTAGGCCGATTTTA